GAGAGGTGTTAACCACCCTAACCCTAATTTCGAATTAGGTTAGGGCTAACCTAATCTCGAATTAGGGTTGGAAGGTTAGRGTTAAGTGGGGCAGCGAGGTATGGGGATGCTGCCCCCACCTGGTTAGGTCATGTAGGGTCGACATTGGACCCAACCAGGTTGCTTGAGTGAATGTAGGGGGTGGCGADACACAAAGGAGGCTGATTGGAGTAAGCGAGAGGGAGTAGAGAGTGAGAGGTACTCGCACCTGGTGTTTGGACTTCAAGAAGACATTGAGTGACTTTTGGGCTTCCCCTCAAGAGGGAGACTTGATCGGAGGCTGCCATATCTGCATCGGATTGCTGCAAGTTACTACTTTGGTCTTCAGGCATTGACGGGGGATCCGGCTTTGCATCAAGGGTGTAGGAAGGCCCTCTTAGTTATGCTAGGACACTTCGTGTAGTGGTAGCTAGGGGTCAGGAGGACTCATGAGAGAGGGGGGTGACACGTTGATCATCTTTGGAGGCCGGGCCTCACAGGTAAGTGCCATGTGACTTGGGTTTGCCCACGGGTGGTTGCTTGGTAGTGCATGGCCTGTTGGGGTTCTATCTGGGCTCTTTTCCTCTTCTCTGCAGTCTTGGTTGTGTGTGTGAGCATGTGGATTGCTCCCTCACCTGATGGATGGATGGATGATGTATCTTGTTCTAAATGAATTATCTTTCTACAGTGCATTGTCTTTCACTTCTGAACGGTAGTAGGGGTAAGTCTTTGTTGAAAGTTGTCTTTTCCTGTTCAGCACAGTAGAGACAGTTTGGACCTGACTTGGTACCCCTGTCTCGTTAGGTTTGGTCCACGACCTACTTGGAACCTTGATTGGGACCAGTGGGACCAGGCCCAACGGGACCGGACCTTTGGGCTCAAATCTGTTGCCGCTAGTGCTTCTTCTTTGCTGTGCTGAACTTGGAGGGGGGCATACGGACAGCAAGGGCGTTCCTTTCAAGGGGATTTTGACTGGTCCTACTGCATGTGATCACTTACCGCCCCGCGTCTGACTCGGTGACCGTCTGCACCCCTCGAAATCTCCATTGCTGTAGTCAGTTTTCTTCGGCTGATTCATTGCATTGCAGTCCCCTGTCAGGTTAGACAAGAGGGGATCTCCAGCTAACCTGATTGGGCCCATTCTATGAATCAGTCCTCTCTCTTTTTTTTTTTTTTTTTTTTTTAATCTTCTGCTGTGTGCCATTCTCAGTCTAAATGAATTGCCGCCCCGGCTAGGGGTTCTACCTTCTACTCTGTGAGTTCTTTGTTGTTTCTCTGCCTGATCTATCTATGTCCAGCATCGAGACGCGTGCGCAGAAAGCAGCGAGAGAGAAAAGGGAGAGAAAAGGTGTTCTGTTTGAGAGTGTGAGGAAGGGCAAGAGGAGTGTTCGTCCAAACGGAAGGAGAGAGCAGACCCCTCTTGAGAGATCTACTGACATCCCTTCCTCCAGCATGGCGGAAATCACATCTGCCCAATGGCGGGCCATGCTGGACGCRGCAAGCGAGTTTGAGAAACCGTTCTTTCARAAACTTTATGATGATGCGGTACTGAGGGAAGGGGAGGYWGAGGCAGCAGCTAAGGCCGCCAGCRTTGCTGCGCAAGAGGCCCTCCTGCAGGTTCCGGAAGCTAATGCTGACCGGTTCGAGGAGAAGCTAGCTGCTGYCGTTGCAGCCCTGGTCCGTCTGCGGGAATTGGAAGACTTTGAATCTCGTGTGACAGCACTAGAGCAGCAGAACCGAGAGCTGCAGGCTGAGGTACTCAGCCTTAGACAGTCCCAACTGTCTGCCCCCCGCCCTCCTAACCCTCGACTTGCTGCAGTCCCGGTCCCTCAAACTAACACAGCCCTAGTGGCAAGTGCAAGTGGAACTGTGGCAAGCGTAGGAACCGGTGCCAGCTCTTCAAGCGGCAGCGCCGGCAGCTCTGCACTCGTCATAGTCCCAGGTGCAGGCCCTTCAGCCCAGAATGCCCCAGTTTGTACTGACATTCCATACAGCGGTCCCATGGTGGACAAGAGGGCGGCCACTTTGCCGTCCAAGTACGATGGGAAGGCGGATATTACATCCTGGATTAGTTCCATGAGATCATACTTCGAGGTCATGCGGACACCGCAGGAGGACCGAAGTATGATCATGGGCACTAATACTGAACCCGTCGTACGGAATCATATTGAACTACAAGCTGTTGCAGCAGGCTACGAGAGGATAGACCTGACTAGCTGGCTGAAGGTGACCCCTGTACGCACTCTTGAAGATCTCCTCCTTGAACGATATCAAGATAAGCATGCGGCGCTCAAGGCTAGGCTAAAGCTTGAGACCCTCAAGGGCCAAACATGAAGATCTTCCATGCAAGCTTTAGAACAACACTTGACTGGTCTGTTTACAACACCTGATCTRGGGATGACTGRCGTGTCATGCATGGATGTAGTCATGGGAGTGGCCCCTAAGGAATACCTCTCCCTGCTAGCACTCAAGGACCATGCTACCTGGCGAGARCTCATGAAGGACMTAGTCAACCTAGAAGCCAAGGACCTCGCCAGACGCAAAAAGGCGCCCGCTGCAGGTGGGAAACCACAACGCAAGCGGTTTGGGAGCAGCAACCAGCTTGCACTGCATGATCATCGGGAGGCTGAGGATCAGTCCTACGCGGATGATCTGTCTCTAGATGACGATCTAGAGCCGGACTCCGACACGGGCTGTTCTTCATCAGCCATYGAGTGTGACCGTAACGAAGATGAAAAACTTAATGCATTCAAGAAGACTGCTTCTAAGGGGCCTAACCGTGGTTCGGGTAGGGGAAYTGTTGTACACCTCCCCAAGAATGCGAAGATCCCTGAGAAACCGGAGGATGCTTCTACCAAACCTTGGGAAGCCCTCCGCATCAGCCAAAAGGAGTGGGAAAGAAGATCTAAACTGCACGTGTGCTTGCATTGTCAAAAGCCTGGGCATGCCGTGTAGGACTGCTACCGACTTCACGGAAACAGGCAAGGGGCGTAGAGGAGTTATCAACCCTCTCTACAGCAAGGGGAGCTGAACAGTCAGTTGCAGACCCTTCCAAAGATCCTGAATCTGATCAACAGCTAGCTCTTGAGGCCCTATCTGATGCTGATTCCAAGGCTGACACGGTCCGAGTGTTATACACTGAGCCTTGGGAGGAGTCTAAGGAAGTAGACYTCCACGCCCACATGGAACATTGGCTGCAGCTCAAGCAGCAGHGCCGTGTCCAGGGAAGTGTGGAGTTGMCCTTYTTWAAMCTTCTCATTAACCGCCGATACATCCGAGTGCTGATCGACAGTGGTTCAACCACTAACTTCTTCTCTCCTAACGGGATTCGTAAGGCGGRCCTGGGTATGAAGCAAGTGGAACTGCAGAACCCTTGTCGGACTCAGGTAGGCAACCAAGAGGTTGTCACTTCCACTCATGTCGTCAAAGGTGTGCGCATCACCTTTGACAAAAACCGGACTGTCACGCATGAGCTCAACTTCTATGTCATGGACAAGTGTCCGTTCGATGTGGTCATTGACTTGGGCTGGCTAAAGGCTCACTGCCTAAGGACCACATGGGCAGACAATCAGTTCGTGGTGCTTGATGCCAAGGGGAACGAGCGTACCGTCTTGTTGGATGAGACGCGCGAGTCCCCTGTGACTCTTCTCAGTGCTAACAAATTCTGCAGATCGGTGCGCAGGCGCAAGGAAGGTGAGTTTGTACATATAGCTCTTGTAAAGCCTTTCCATGTGCCYTCTACTTTTGCTGCATTTTCTTCTTCGGAAGGTAACTCTACTTCTACTCCTGTTCCATCTACTTCTACTATGAATACTCAGCCTACTTCTGATTCGGAAACCTCTAAACCTGTTGTAATTGCTGTAAATTCCCAGTCTGATTTTCTCTCCCCTGATGAGGATGATCCTCCACCGGAAATCCCAGCAAGCATTCGCCTCCTATTAGATCGATTTCCGGAAGTGTTGGCTGAACCTCGCGGAGTTCCCGAGCATCCAGTCAAGCACAAAATCGAGATAATAGAAGGGAGTGTTCCTCCAAAGGGTTGTGTCTACCGTATGGGGCAAGGTGAGTTGGAGGAGCTGCGGAGACAGATTGATGATATGATTCACCGTGGTTGGATTAGGCCTAGCGAGTCCGAGTTTGGTGCCCCTGTCTTGTTTGTGCCGAAGAAAGGAGGGAAACTCCGAATGTGCATTGATTACCGTGGCTTGAACCGGATCACTAGGAAGAATGCGTACCCTTTGCCTCATATTGATGATCGGTTGGATGCGGCCGGTGGTTGCAAGGTCTTCTCCAAGATCGACCTCAAGTCTGGCTATCACCAGATTGAAGTTGATCCGAGCGACCAGCACAAAACCGCGTTCAAGACACGCGATGGGCYGTACGAGTTCATCGTTATGCCSTTCGGTCTCACGAACGCACCAGCCACATTCCAGTCCCTCATGGACAAGGTACTCCGCCACCAACTTAACAGGTTTGTGGTTGTGTATCTCGAYGATATTYTGATTTTCAGCAAGTCCATGGAGGARCACGTCAAGCATCTTGAGGAGGTMTTGCAAGTCCTCAAAGATGCTCAACTGCACCTCAACTTGGAGAAATCTGAGTTTGCCAGGGACAGCGTCATCTATCTGGGGCACCGGTTGTCTGCGAGCGGCCTTGAGCCGGAGGCAACCAATGTTGAGGTCATCCGCAACTGGCCTCAACCGGCAAATGTACGCGAGCTGCGTTCTTTTCTTGGTTTGGCCTCTTATTATCGAAAGTTTGTGCCTAAATTTTCTGTCATTGCTCACCCACTTTCCCGCCTGACGAGTAAGAATGTTGCTTATGTGTGGTGTGAAAAGTGTGAGACTGCGTTCCAAGCCTTGAAAGAGGCTTTGGTGAGTCATCCTGTGCTCCGCATTGCGGATCCCAACCTCACGTTCGTAGTCACTACGGACGCGAGCCAGTTTGGGACTGGTGCAGTGCTGCAACAAGATGATGGCGATGGCCTGCGTCCGCTTGAGTACTACAGCAAACGCATGCCCAGCCACAAGGTAGCCACTTCCACATACATGCGAGAGTTCTACGCCTTGCGCGAGGCGCTCACGCATTGGAAGCACTACCTCTTGGGTCGCCACTTCAAGGTCTATTCAGATCACCAGACCTTGCAGTGGATTAAGACACAAACTGATCTTTCTCCTACGCTGACCCGCTGGTTGCATGATATTGATGTTTTCAACTTTGATTGGAAGCATAAGAAAGACTGCTATAATCGCGTTGCTGATGCTCTATCCCGCCATCCCGAGTACTTGACTTGCCTGGTGGATTCACACGACCTCCGCACGCAACTGAAGGAGGATCTCGCCGAACGCACCACCAAGGACCCGGACCTGAGTCCTATCCTTGAGCAGCTCAAGGCTGACCCTAACAGCCAGCCTGATTTTCATGAATGCGATGGTCTTGTATTCCGCCGGTATGGGAAATTCGATCGCTTGTGTGTTCCTAACCATGCGCCTCTCCGGACTCATTTCTTGGATCTGGCACATGGTCGGAGTGGACACTTTGGCTTTGAGAAGACTTACGAAAGTCTTCGCAAGGCTTCTCCAACAGTTTGACTGGCCGGGGATGAAGGGATCTGCTCAGAAGTTCATTGCTGAATGTCAAGTCTGTCAAAGAATTAAGGTCCACAGGCATAAGCCTTATGGCCTCCTGAGACCCCTCCCAATCCCTGATGGTCCCGGGGAATCGGTCTCTATCGATTTCACGGACATGGGAAAGGTGAGTGCGGCCGGGAATTCACAAGTCATGGTCATTGTGGATCGCTTCTCTAAATTTTTGAATCTGATTCCCTTACCTCCTCATGCCCCAACTGAACTGGTGATCGAAGAATTTCACCAGCAGTACATCCTGCAGTATGGGCCCCCGAAAACTCTTGTGAGTGATCGGGACACTAGGTTCATCAGCAAGGATTGGAAGGACTTCACTGCCCAAGTCTATGACATCATACTAAACATGACGTCTGGTCGACACCCACAAGCCAATGGATTGGCTGAGGAAATCAACCAGACCATTACCCAACTGCTGCGCACGTTAATTGTGCCAGACCAGAACACATGGGATAAGGAGTTGCATAAGGTAAAAGGACTGTACAACAACTCCATCCATTCTGCAATCGGTGTGACACCAAATCAGTTGCAGTATGGATGGCCGATGCGTAATCCCGTCTCCTACCTGTTCCCGGAACGGTCACCTGGTCTGATACCCGGCATGCCTGGCTACAATGCSAAGTAYGCACGCTTGCTCAAAGCTGTTACGACAGCCATGAACAAGCGCCAGCATGCCATGATCAAACATGCCAACAAGCTGCGCAAAGAAGTGAAATTTAAGGTCGGGGACTACGTTTGGGTTAAGATGTCTRAATTTTCTGATGAGGAGGGCGTGTCACGGAAGCTTCTTCCACTATACTACGGCCCTTGGCAGATTCTGAAAGTGATTGGGGATGATTTTGGCCCTTCGTTTGTGATTGACGTGCCGCCTCATCTGCGCATGTACCCAGTCTTCCAGGCCTCCAAACTGTTTCCGCATATTGATGATGAGACTTTTCCCTACCGTGACCCTATGATACCTCGCCCTATCGATGGCGGCCATGAGATCGACAAGATCGTTTCTCACGAGGGTAGAGGAAGGAACAAACAATACAAGGTCCACTTCCTCTATCACCYGTTGAACGAATTCTTCTGGATCGACCGGAAAGAGCTGCTGAAGAGCGCCCCACGTGTAGTGAACGCATATGAACGACAGGTTGCTGATGGACAGACCGCTAAGTTCGCTGCGAAACTCACCCCATTCGGTCTCACTAACGCCCTCTTTCTGATCTMTGCCTACGATGCCTTTTGTGCCGACTCTGAATGAGTTACTCGCTCGAAGGGACCTCGCTCTTGCGAGGGGGGTAGTGTAATGACCCGCCAAAACACAGACTGAGAACACTGCTGATTTCTGGGATTTGCCACTGGAATGAATGCCTTGCCGTGATTCCCGCATTCTGCTG